TAAAAGACAGCAGTAAGAAGAAGCCAATGAGCAGCTGTAGAAATGCTGCAGAAAGAGTCAGGAGCCCCGAGGAGGGGGCAAAGGAGGTGAGGGGTGGGGACATAAAATGGAGACGAAAGCAGACGACAGAACATTGCTAGAGAGCCAGGAAAGGAGGTGAAAGGAGACAATTTTAAAGAAGAAAAATGTTTCGGTCGGATTCGAACACGGTACCTTTGAATGAGAGGCGAACATCTTAAACTTAAACTCTATGCCACGAGAGCCCCCTTTCGGAGATTAACATTATACTCGAAGGTCTCGCCTCGTAAATGACTTAATCGTGTTGATAGGGGTGTTTAACAAATACATTTGTACCGTTTTCACCATATACTACTATTATTATTACTATTACTAAAGAAATAAATCGAAAATTTATTGTGTTGTTCAAGGCAGTCCTATTCTTTTTGTGCAAGCAACAGAGAAGCCACACTGTTAAGAAATAGTCTTTTTGTTCAAGATTATGGAGTTGAATTCATCGGCGAGGCTTCAATCAAAGCTTGGGCCCCATAATCTCCCGAAATTTAGGAACTGGACGTGACAACGGAGTGACGGCACTGCGCTACATCAATCAAGTCCTGCGCAGCTCTATGTTGCTCCTTTTTCCCAGAGACATCAAACCACCTCTTTCAGCGGGATAACGCCCCGCCTCATACAGCACGTGCTACCCAGCAGTTCCTGGTTCAGAGCAACATACCCACCACGCCTCACCCACCCCGATCACCAGATGTGAACCCAAAAGAACACCTTTAGGACATTCTTCAGGGGCATCTCAACCAACTCCAGCCCAGACCCCGGACAGCTGCACAACTGGGTGCTGTTATTGTTCAGGAGTGGGTGCAGGTCCCCAACTGCCAAATCAATCGCTTGGTCCACCCAATGGATCGCCGATGCACGGCTGTCATCAACGCTAATGGAGGCCATACCAGATACATACTGGAACTTAAGCCCCGAGGCCAAGGTCATTGATGCCGAATAACAAAATCTGTCCCCAAGCAAATCCCCAACTCTTAAACAATGTATTGTGCAATTGGAGACACCTCAAACCTGATTCTCTAATAAAAATATTGCTTCAATTTACTCTCCTCTTCTTGTGTCATGTGAATTTGCATTACTTTTGCCGGTTAGTAGCCTATACAACTGCATCTACGATTTGTGTCACCATTCATTAAGCACACTAACTTTGAAATTTCATTTCATTTTAACTAATTTATTTATAAATTGAATTCTCAATGAAAGATGACGTGAAAAGATAAATCAACTATAAACAAAGGCCTTATAAGTGTTTGCGTTCAATGAATGATGACTGATGACGTACGTAAAAAAAGCAGCTTTTTTTGCATCAGGGGAAACTACCCAACTGTTACAACCCCTTTGTAATAAGTTTATTCTTCGTTGTTTCTCTTTGACCACAATCGTCACATCTCTGGGGTTATTTAACATTTTTTAAAACATATTTATTCATTGTCGAAAATTGCCATTGTCATACTTGTGGGTAGATCATAGATTTAGGTATACTATACATCATTCAATAATCTAAAAATCAAAAGCCAGAAGCAGTTCTACTTATATGCTGAATATGTTGCGAATTGACTCATACTGCCTTTTGATATACAAAATGTAATATAGTCAGGTACAAGTAGCCTACAAACGCGCGTGCGCGCGCGTGCACACACACA